TAACAGTTGGATGAAGCTTTTTCACCAACCAAAGCACTGACACCACAATGTAATGTGCAACTGATTGCAGACAAACAAACCACAATCAGAACAGCCAATTTTCTAACTAGCACCAAACTGTGGAAATATGAGAAGCCAGAGAGAACAACAACAGAGACCTCTGGAAAACAATTCAAATGTAGAGAGTAAGACAAAAGTATTCTGGACAACACAAAAATGTACATTAAGCTGTCAGCTTTGCAGTGTGGATTTGGAAGGGCAGTAATGTGAAACCTGTTTATTACACCACAATAATGATTATTATCTTGCCTCCAGGATTTTTGGGGGGTGTTTCATGTTGTTTCCAAGTCTCGAAAACCATGAAGTTTTCTCACATGCTTTGGTAAGAGCTCAATCAGCAAGATCTCAGAGAGTGCTTCAGATCAAAGGCCAACTACAAAACCAACCATCCAACCTGAGTCCATCACACCCTTTGTCTACATCACCTCCCTCCCTCAAAAGCCAACAACAGTGCAATAGTCAAGGCAAGCCCATCTTGCTAATTCCATACACACAGATGAATGGGAAACTTTGCTAAAAAAGGCACAGGTGTCTTCTTAACAAGCCATTAGAACAAGCAAGTCCTGCTACTGTCACATCACATGGCATCAACCAGAGATCTCCACTACAGGGGTCTTTTAAAAAACATCTTTAATCCAGGTAAACGCCATGTGCAGCTTCTTTAAAAGTCTTCATAAGAAGATAACCTAGCAAGAATCTGATAGTTCAACTGGACAAGAAATAAGTATCTTCTGTCAAGGATGTACAGAGCACTGGAAAATAAAAGCACACCTGCAATTACAGCTATGAAAGTGGCTCTTACATGGAGCTGTTTCAGCTATGCTGGTGGTAAAAGTATTTGGACTGTGATTGAAGAAGTCTTTCAAACGCAGCTGTACAAAGGTAACTGGGAAGTACAGCAGCCCCAATTTTAAAACATCCAGCCATGAGGTTTTGATGAGATGGGCTTCCTAATGACATCCTAAGATCAAGATGATTGTTAAACCCCAGTTTTGCAACATGACCACATACAGCACAAAGCAGAAGTCTAAAAAATTAGAAACACCAACCTGCACTTTAAAATAACCACAGCACGTGTCTGTCTCAAAAGCAGATTAAAACCTTTTCCTTCAGGCAGAAACCATGAGACTGATACTCATCTTCCTAAAGGTATTTCCTTAATGATAACAACAACAAATGAAGCAGACACAAAATACAACACATGTTAAGGTAAATAAACTGGAGGAAAGAAATCGCAGCTACATAGTTCTTTCATCATCAACAAGCAGATGCTTCAGAAGGGTGATAGGAATACTCGTTTTCCTGCCAACCCTACTCTCCCTTAAAACAAAAGATTTCTGCTCAAGGTGGGGAAAGAAGATACCTGTTTTTATTTATCTTAGATAATGTCTAGATCAAGACTCAAAGCATGAGCACTTTCAAAGCATCCTCTTGTACACACATGCATGCTTTCACATACAGGTATTTAGACATGTGGGGGGTGGGAATAACTGCACACAGACTTTAATTCCATACAGTGCACTATTATTCCCATGAACCTAAAGTATGCTTCAATTCCAATAAAGAAATCAATACAGAACAGAGCATTAGCAGCATATTTCTTGCACCATATGTATGACTCATAAAAGAAATAAGCACAAATGCTAGCATTCACTGTTCCCTTCAGGGCATTAAATCTCCATCCCCAGGCAAACAAACAAAATACCCAAGACTGCATGAGGGCAGGATGGTGGCTAAGGTGCTCATCAACAAAATACCACTGGGTTATGAGCTACAAGCCCTGTAAGTCCGGGACATGATAATTAAATAGGAGCTCACATCCTCAGAGTGGCACATTTTTGTACCACTTCTTCCAGATAATGAGTATCAAACTAGATAGCTCTTTTTAAAAACACAAACATCTACTTGCTTTCAAAAATCTGTGGTGGTAAGTCATAACTACCCAAAAGGCAGGAAAGGACTCATATATTGTAAAAAATACTGTTATCTTGAAGTGACCATTCAAAAGCAATCAGTTCTCATCAAAGCATCTTGGCTTTTGTAATTTTTTGTCTTTGGCAAGACAAAAAAAAGGCACCAACTCTTCTCAGTGTCACTGTTCTTGTAAATATATTTAAAAAATTCACTTGAAAATATACAGAAATTCAGGAAAGCCAAGTGAGCTACCAGAGAGTTTGCTTACATTATTATTTATGATACTATTAAAGAGAAATTGTGCATCTGAAAAGGTTCTCCCAAAGCAGAAAGAGTTTTTTCCCAAAGTACCAGATGCATACTATTGGAAGATTTCTATTAAGGACTACTGAGATTTTCATCATGGCTTTGTCTTAATATGTCACAAGTACTCCATTCTTAATATTGTAGTGAAAATAGAAGAAATATATTGACTCTGACAAGAGAGAATAAGTAAGTAGCTTTCCTTTGCCCCCAAGGAGGAAAAATGATATTATATCCCTGTGAAAATGCTCAAGATATTATGGGCAAGAGAAAGAAATACTTAGTGCAAACAGTTTAACAAACCCCATCAGAATCAAAGCATCACATATTTGAAGCCTGCCAGGTTTCATGCTGACACTTGGTGAAACAACACAATAAAATGTTTTGCACCTCTGTGCCTTCTACTAATAGCACAAAATCCTGGCGAGCACAAATGCTAATGACTACTCCAGCTAAAATCAGCTTCCTTCAAATGCTGTTAGATTTGCATAGTATGAGGATCTAAAATATCCTGGAGTTCAGTTTATTTGAAGATAAGCACACTAGCAAGATCTGAAACAAGAACAATGCTTTTAAGACACCTTATTATTTATAAATGAACAAAAGAATACAGCAAGAGTAAAGAAATTGTTAAAGTCTAGGCAGCAGGGTAACTCATTTTACTGACTAGAGCCTAACACAGTCCCAGCTCATTTCACCATGAGCTGGTTTCATGACAGCAACCGATTACTCAAGAGACTCTGTGGGAGTTAATGCGAGTGGTAAACAAGCTCCCTTTACCTTGGGAGCTTTCCTTGATTTTACAAAAGGATAAAAGTGAAACAAAAAAAAAAAAAGAAAAAAAACCCCCACATTTTTCATCGGCTGCTCCTTCTCTGAAAAATACAAGAAAACTGGTAGAATGATATTGATCCCCTCTAGCACACACTGAAAACCACAAGACAGCTTATTTCTGACTGCTTCTATTCAAAAATTATCTCTATAGAATGATCACCTATCCTTAACATTTTAGATTGATAATTACTGATCCATGTACACAGCTCCACAAGTACTGGACTGGGACACTCTACCAGCCAAGGTAAACGTGTTCTCCATTAAAAAAAAAAAGGAGAACAGATTATTTTCATTTTGGCAAGATATTAGTACCACTTCTCAAGTCGTAATGTCAGAAAATCAGAGCATAAAACCAAAGGCTAAATACAACCACTTTCTAAAAACATAGTCAAGAAAAACCAAGGCCTTATTAATGTGAAGGTTTTGTTCCAAGACCTGTGGTTTTATATGCTGCAGCAAACGCTGATGACCAGCACAACATGAATTTTGCTTAAGTTCCAATAAAAAATAAGAGTCACTAAGAAAAATAGAAAGGCAACAGCAAGCTAAACCCTATAGCTTGGCCCTTTGTGTGTGAAGCAACATTTTGCCATATTGTCTATATATTTGAGGGCTGACATGTTAATGGCAGCACTAAAGTCTGCTGTGGAGGACAAGCTGTTCTCAAGTCTGTATGATACTGAAGTCAAATTATTGCCTGATATACGAAAATGTGAGTTAGAGCTACTGATGCTGTGTGTGCTGTGAAACATGCCAAGATCATCATGAAATACTACCAGAGGACTGAGGCTTTGTCTGTCAGTCACTCACCTGCTCAGTCACTCACCAGCCTGTCAGCTGTCAGTCTCAGCCATAAAAAGCTGTCCATGAAAATGTATCATAGCCTCCATTATCTTCAGTGTTTTAGAGCATAATAATAAAATATGTATTAAGCCAGAACAGCAACAAAATCATGCCTGACTGCTCTTGATGAATACAAACGTGGGAGTAATCTGAAAAATCTAATTGGCTTGCCAACACTTGAGTTTTTTATTATAATTTTCTAGTACATAAGGGTAACTATCTAAGAATATAATTTCTTGAAATTATTAGATAGATAGCTTTTCTTCTTTCTGTATCCCATCTTTGCATGGAAGTCTAAACTTATAACCCAATCCATTTTTCAGGTAAAGCTGAAAACCATTCCAACCTCTACAAAATAACTTCTTATCGTAAAATTACAAAATCCTTAATTGTTACAATTGTTAATTGCTATCCCCTTATTTTAACTATGCATTAATCTCTTGAGTGATTTTGAGAGGCCTGTTATTCTATCTTCTCACCAGGGGTTGAAATAATGACACTGAAGGGAAAATTTTACTACCTGGAGCTGGCATGAAAGGAACAAATCCAGAATTCCGCCAGTACTATAATCAGCAATGTATCAGCTCTCCTGCTTCTGACCATCTCATTCTATTCTCAAGGAAATTCTGTTTGTTTAGAATGGATGAAGGTAAAAAGCAACAATACGAAACCAAACATATGGAAAAGAACAAACCCATGAAAAAATGAAATCCCAAACCAAATACAACATTTTGTCAAACACACAAAATCTTGCCAGGACTAGACACTAACAAAAGAGCCAGTACTACTGCCATCACAGTGAATTGGGAATTGTCATGCAGTACCCACAGTGCATGTTATCATGGATGATGTCAGTTTGGGGGACAAAGAGAGCTCTTCTCATGAGGAGATTAAGCTAAATGAATACAGGGATTAAGAAAAGGTTAAAATGAAGCCCAAGCACTCTGCCTAGAGCAGCAGTGCTTTGCTAGCACCATGTGAGCTCTGAGGCTGACAGCAGGGCGCTGTGCTGGGCCATGTCCCCAGAGCCAGGCGTTGGTACTGACCTGCCCCAGCATGTCGGGCGCGATGGGGAACGTAGGCCAGATGGCCGAGTACACGCCGAAGAACACGAGCCAGAGCACCATGCTTCCCCAGACGGCCAGGTGACTGAACTGCCAAGAACAGGGAGAGAAACAGAGTCAACACATGGCACTTCCTCCATCCACCCAGCCCAGAAGTGTTTCTCTGTTCAGGTATCTGTCGGTCTCACTCAGGCCTGTCTACTGCTCTTGGTTTTGAGCCAGTAGCACAGGTTGTTCAAACAGCACAAACCACTTCTCTTTAATCTTTGCTTCATAGCAGGGCAGACAGATACTCTTCTCAGCCAATCTGTCTTATTTGGATCTCAAAAAACTCGTCAGATTTTCCTTGGAACCATAATTTCTCTCATCTAGTTCCTGTATCCTGTCACGCACATTCCAGATTCAACACGTAAATCAAGGTAGGAATTTTCAAAGGCGCAGGTTAAAGTTCACATGGACAAATCCCCTATGGCCGTGTACACGTACAAGCCATACACATCACTTTCCTTCAGTGTTGTGTACTTCCACAATCAACATCTACTGGTCAACTTTGCCTTTTTTTTTGTTTTAAAGGTGTTCTAACTGATTTACACACATGCAATGCAGCTTACATCTTTACTGGTTCTTTAGTCTGTAGACTCACTAAGAGAAAATAAAAACTATTAAATGACCAAGAGCACATCCAGCAAAAACTTCTTCTCAGTGGCATTAAAGTAATTTTTCCTACACACCCAAACTGTTTTTCTGCTCAGATGATTTAAGTTGTTTTACTTTTACACCACACTGGATGGAACCAGTAATTTCAGTTGTAACAAGCAACTGAGCTCATTATTGGCTCCAACTTTTCTGGATGCCAACAACTCCTGCGGCTGATGACTTTGGCTCCAATTCAGAGAAGTACCTGCATAAATCTTAATTACTAATTACATATGAGTTCAGGAACACGGGAATGAATTCACATACTGGGTGCTGGTGGACACAGCGTGTTTGTTCAGCTCTCAGCTTTATATTTCCTACTGGATGACTCTGTCTGTTGACTTTTTGAACAGTATGTCTGAGAACCAAAGAAATTTCTGATATTGTGTTCTGCTTGCTGTGAGATAAATAAAAACTTCTGGAAGAAGATTGCTCCTAATCTGCAACCGCTGGACATGCTCAGAAAGGACAGCTTTCTCCAGCACAGGCAGTGAAAACAAACAAGCAAAGAGCCTGCAGCACCAGTGCAGACTGGCAGATAGTTGGGATCAACTAGAGACTACCTTACAGTAGAAGCATTCATACAAAATGTCAGAGGCAATGGAAAGAACACTCTTCTAGGCACTCTCAAAAAGCTGGAATTTTGTGTAACCCTGAAAGTTGCTGGGTTAATAATAAGCAAGACATGGCATAGGCCTCTTCCTGAAGAGACACAGTGGGCAAAAAGATTTGTTTTCAAACTTTGCTATTTATTCTGTTTGACCCAGGAGATCTGACCTCAGTAAATAAACAACTCCTTATGTAAAACAAACAAGAAACAAACTAACCAAAAAAACCCAGCCCCAAACCCCCACATAACCAAAAAACCCTCCAAAATACCCACATATGTGCTCAAGTCTGTTTAAATGTGAAGAAGGAAATTGAAGGATTTTTTTTAAATCCTTCAAGAGGACAAGAGGGATTTTATCCTTTCAGTCTACTTGCTCTTCTGAAAACTGAGCACAATTCACGTCAAGATTCTGACTAGAAGCCCTGCCCTGGTGAGCCACTGTAATGCTCAGCTCCCCAAATATCAAGTACTGCAAGGCTGCTGCAAGAAGATTCTTGCATAAAAGCTAGACAGAGTGTGTGGCTCTCCCACGTATCCTGCTTATCTGAAACAGTTGCTACAGTGTGGTAAAGCAGTGATGAAAAAAGCTCTGCGTGTTTGGGGAAAAGCCTACTGCAGTGTTCCACACAGGCCCTACGTAACATGAAGCTACTCCACTCAACTTCAATGTGTGGATTTTATTATCCATTATGTTGCCAATTTTATCGGAGCCTTTCTTTCCACACTAACTACTGGATATACCATGGTCCCCAAAACTTTGACTGCGTTTTTTATTTAAAGTTTTCTGTTGAAACCACCTTGTTCTCCCAAGTGGCAGTGTCCCTCTCACTCTCTAGAACAAACTGCCTGTAACCAATCTGCTTGATGATGGAGAAGAGGCTTAACTCAGTGTTGTAAATTTAATACTCTTCAAGTAACCTGAGGATTCTCTGTGTGTTGATTCACTCATAGCTGAAACTATAACCAACATCAGATTTTGAGATTATGAGAGTCACTGTTCCAAGCAATAGGGCAGGATTTAGAAGTATATATAGAAAAAATGGATTCTAAACACAACTGTTGTGTGAATAACAATAATTTATCTGTAAAATGTCAGAGTTATAAAACTCCAATATCTACTAAAGATTACGGTATCTTTTAAAAAAGAAGTTTAGAAATAAGGGGCCCATGATTATCCTCAAGTGGCTGAAAAGACACCCATTACCTATCCAGAGAAGAGGAGAGAACAGAAACCATCAAAAAATTCACAACAAAACAGGATCTAAACAAGCTCACATGCATTCAATGCTGACTTGGTTATATGCTTTTCTGGTGCACAAGGGATTAATTTAGGGATTTTTGCATTTTAAAATGTTGATACACAACACAGAACTGATGCATAAGCAACAGCAAAAAACCACTCAGATTTTATTTTCAGATGAGAGAATGGGGCAGAAAATATTAACATCTCCCTAACAACTAAATAACCCATACAGACAGAATTTCACCTTTAAAATTCAGAACAGATGTCAGCTCATTGATCTTCACAATTCCTCTGGGAAGAATGAAATAAAACATTTTACAACTAACAGAAGCAATGAGGTTAACAAGAACTAAGCCAAACCCTTGAAGAAACTGGTAGAATAAGAATATGTGTCCTCAAAACATCTTAGCCTTGAGGGCAGAGTTTCTTTGTACGTCATGAAAACTGGATTCCCATAAAGTATCTTACTGGTGTGGAGAAAAAGAGACTCCGTCAAAATTTAAAAAATTAGTGTTTCAGAGGGGCTAGGGGAAAGGAAGGGAGAAAGGTGTTGAAACTTCATCAACACAGGAGCCCTTCCCTCCCTGTCCCTCACACACTTTGGAGCTCACTGCCCTGCCTGGTTCTGTCACCTATCTGTAATAGAGCACTTGCCCATTTCAAGCCAATAACTCAAATCAAGGAAACAACATAACTATTCAACTGACATCCTTATTACACTAAGTTTCAAAAAGAAAAACCAAAAAAACAAAACAATTCAACCAATGTGGAGTCACCACTAGTTCTTTTTACCTGGATCAAAGATGTTTTCAAGCCTAGTTGTTTATCTGTGGGCAGACACCTTTCATTCCTTATTGCATTAATTTTGAAGGAGCTACAGACTACAAAGGATAATTTTCTTGATGCATTTTCTTAAGCAATTTCAGTAGTATGTTGATTTCACGCAAAATTTTGCTCATTTTTAAGTAGAGATTTTGACAATATGCTTTTAGTGTGCTCTTCCCACTTCTGTCAGGCTGCCCTTTTTCATCACAGATATTGTGTGATCTACGAGTTCATTCCTCTCACATTCTGTACTTAGGGAGCTTAGCAGCCTATCCTTACATGAAAGATCTAATTAGAACTCTGAAGTCCCAAATGATTTTTAGTACTTCTTATCTGTATCAATACTCATTAGGGAGGAAGGTGTGCTAATAAAATAAAAGATACTGGAAAGTACTTACTCTAGTCCATGCAGTTGTTTCCAAGCCAGCTTTCAGACAAACAGTGACTACAACATACTGCAAGGAAAAAGAAGAAAGAAGACAACTTCATTACTAACACTCTCAAATCCCAATCTCCCCTTTACACATAAAAAGCTACTACCATTTAGGCAGCAACCCAGGAACTTGGTAGGGGATGCAGAAAGGACAGAGCAGAAACGATTGGTGCGTGTCTGGGAAAAAAATTAAAAGGAAGAGGGAAAATCATGCACTCAGCATCAGGTTGATTTTTTTTTAAAAACTCACATATTTTCATCAGGTTTACACCATTTTCTTGTGGTGAAAAAAAAGGCTGGAAAGAAATTCTACCATTCAAAGATTGCTATGATACACAAACTTACAGTGTAAACTATGTTTCCAACAAATAAATAGTCAACTCCCTGTCCATTTGTGAATACTGCATCTGAAAGAAGAAGATAAAGAAGATCACCTTTGTTGTCAGTTTATCAACAGAATGGACAAAAGAACAAGGAGATTTTCAAGAGAGAATAACTGGCCCCAGCCTTTCCTTTTTGAACATCAAAAAGCACTCCTAGAGACCATGAGGTAATGGTAATGCAGAAGTTGTGCTCAGTTGGGCCTCAGACACGGTGCTTGGAGAGAGCATCCATCCATCCATAGGTCCAGTTGCCTGAAGCTGGCCGAGCAAATAGGCAGTGTTCACCAGACTCTAACATGTAATTTGCTTGTAAGAGCTGAGGTATATCCCTGCCACTTTTTCTGTTGCTATCTGTCCTGTAGTGTCACTTCTAACAATATTTATTATTTGCACGCCTCTGATGAAAAAGCAGTAAAACACCAGCTGACTTGTGGTGAAAGAGAGCTGAGCTAAGGGCAGGGACAGTTTAATTTGTAAAGGACACATATCAACATGTACAATATCTCACTGGAGGTTAGTTCCATAACTGAGCAGTACTCAGTCTCTGGCCACCCGTTCTCTATCAGCTGTGCACAAGGGTGAGTACATACATGCTAATCTATCATTTGGAAGTGCCAATCTTGGCAATACTTCAAATGTCATTTAGTCTCTCAGCCCTTGCTGAATCAAACTGGAACACCATGAAAACACATTCAACCACCACATGAATGCCAATTGAACTTGTACTCACAGGAGTTTTCAAGCATTACTCAAGCAGGATAAGTATTGCTATTTTCACATGTTTTAAGACAACTGCTAGGGAAATACATGAACAGCAGGGACAAAAAGGCTTATGATAAAACCTTGGATTCATTCCTAAACACATACTGCCTAGCAGTGTGAGCAGTCCTGCCATGATGATGCCTTAAGTTTTAGCTTTCATATTATCCAGATTCTGTCCTGCATTAGTATATAACTCTGGACTTCATATCAAGTGCTAGCAAGTTCTCCTCACAGTTTAGTCAGAAAAAACAATTCTTTTCCAGCCCAAAAACCAAGAATGCGGTTGCAGCTTCAGGCTCAAAAGGTATAAACAACAGCAAATTGAGAAGAGCAGTCTGGGAGGATGGGACTTAATGACCTGAAGCTGTAACTGGACAATGAACCCCAATATGTAAATAGACCAAAACTTATACAAGTGTGAAAACTTGTGACCCACTGTCCAGCTTGGGTGTAGTCTCAGCCAGGCTCTTGTAGCGCCCAAGGCGCATCCTTTGAAGGTCTTTCAATAAATATCTACTTTATTCCTTTAACAATGTCTAGCCTCCATTCTAGGTAGCCTCTCGAGGCATCAGTAACAGTAACATTTTGTTAGATTTATTTGGAAAACTGGGTTTGACATTCTTAAACAAAAGTTGTGTGCCCCAGGATCAGTAAATATTTAAGCCTATAAAGAAGAGTTCCTGGCACCCTGATCTCTGTGAAGATCCTGTCTAGCTTACACCTAAAAACCTCTATACATTTATACAGTACAATTAACCCAAGCTTACTTGTTTTGTTTTCCTTCTACCATGCTGCACGTGGCTGTCTCCAAAGAAGTGACAGGCTCTGAATATTCCCCAAAAGTTGCTAGTTCTGTATCTCTGCTTTCTTTTCAATATTAACAACTAAGAAACAGCAGCAGAGTGACTAACACTGCAACTGGAGTTAAAGCCTGAGACAGCTGGGTTAGGAGCTGGCATGGTTTCTAGCCGCTGGCATCCTCCTCAGCCCAGCTCCTCTGCAGTGGCTTCAGCCATTTACCACATTATTCAGGGACACCCCAAGAATTTACAGTCACCCTACTCTTTCCCATGGTGCCCATGAAATAGGTGGAGAGCACTAGGGAACTTAGTCTCCCATGCCAATTGAATCCTGTTGGTGCCAAAAGGCTCAGTTTAATGAGAAAAAAGCATGCCTAAACTCATCAGTTTTGCTAGAATAAGCTGACATGACACAGCCATGCTCTGGTGTAACATCACAGTGAACATTTAAATAATTGAATACGTTTTCCTGTAAGTCTCAACTTCTTTAGAGTTATCTATTTTAACACAGTAAGTTAATGTCTTTGTTTTTCAGTGTTTTCCATGACCTTGCACTTTGGGAGGCTAGACAGTCCTGAAAGGAATGATATTTGTGCTAATGAGAACAGCAGCAGGCTCAATGAACATTCATTTCTGAAGGTGTACAAGTGCCCATTCCTAGACTACATGTACTTCACATCCTAAGGAACTCAAGAGGTTAAGAACCATCCCAGTGTGAATGGCACATTTTTGTCTCTAGCACTGAAATCCTTCTTGCACTTGGAAATGCAAAGAAACTTGAAAATTCAATATTCATTCCTCTCTGGAAAAAAACCTGAGCAATTTATTCAAAGGAAGTCAGAAATTTAGCCTCTGAGCTGGTATTTCTGTCTTATAATTCTAATTGTTGAAATTTAAAGCACATTATCTATTTGGGAACTACAAAAACCTCTATGGAAGACTATGTAATTTTAACTATAAACACTACAGATGTTAACCTAAAATTTCTGCAGTTGAATTTTAAAAAGAGCAATTCAAGGTTAACATTTGTCATAAAAACAGTGTAACAGAACAACAAAACTCCTCAAATCAAAACAAAAACCAACCAACCATAAAAGCCCCTCTCCCACAAAATGGAACCTTCTTTTAGCCTATGTACAGATGAAAGGCAAGTCCCTTTGTTATATGGTCCATCAGCCATCGAAGTTCCCACTGAGGATATGATACTGACATTTTGATCAGCCAAGTAGAGTAGCATGAACCCAATCCCCACAAGTATCTTTACTATCATGCCTCTGACATGAGCATTCATCTTCCCTCCCTTTTTATTTCTTTCACCTCCTCCCCAGTTAGCCCATTCTGGAGCCTAGAAGGTTTTCTTAAAATCAGTGTCTTCCACGAAGGAGTTTCACTTGTGAAAAATTAATGATTTTAGATAAATATTCTCTTCACCAGCCCCAAATTCCTCATTTGATCTAATGCTATTTCTTACCACAATCAAAGAACAGATTTCCAGCGGTTTTTCCCACCCACACAGCTATACTGGAAAGCTAGGTAGGAACCATGTGGGATGTACTGGTCCCTGAAATACCATGTAGCTGCATTACCCTGAAAAGTTGCATTACCCTGAAAAGCAAGACTTAATAATAACCCTAATTTGTACACCAAAGAGTCTTATTTCCCCAGTATCTTTGACTCTTGATCTGGTTTACTTCCATTCCAGCCAGTTCTTTTCCACAGTACTGCTTTATGGAATGGGGAAGTTCCAACAAGATATAAAGCAAATGGTTCTAAGGCAGCTGCTGTAAGAACATTATTCAATCAAATGCTGAGATCTCAACACACTACCATAAAAAAGAAAAGGCATTTCATAAAACATCACTCAGTATTTGGGTAAGACTTCTTAGCAAAGCAGTAGTTTCATTTTTCACCTATTAAAGTCACTATATGAACAATAATTATGTTAGATTAGAATAATTTCTGAAAGCCACTAGACAACATGCCAAGCTCAGCAGCTAAAGACTATTGAACTGTCTGGCAGCATTATTTCTTGAAGAAGGGGGGGACTTGTCACGACCCCCCTTCTGCAAACACACTGGTTCTGTAAGACTGAACATCAGTTACTCACATAAGAAATAATGAAGCCCTTACCATGCTCCAGCACTTTCAGTGGAAACCAGAAAAGAATGATGGAATGGATGAGGGCATTGATGCAGTGACCCCAGAAAACCTGAGGGAAAACAAACCAAGCCATCAGTAAAGTCCAAAACTCTTGACCTCCCTCTAACTCCTAACAAACACTTCATTGTGTAGTTTAGAGTCAACAAATGTTTGTCCTGAAGTGAAATACTCAAACTTCTGCAGGATCTCTTTTCTCCTACAATTTCTGCTCTTTCACAAGAAAACACTGGTCCAATTTTATCATTTTATTCTACCAACTTGAAGCATAATAGGCAAGCCTGCTTCAGCTTAAGATCTTTATTGAAATAAGGCAGACAGCTTAAGTCAACTTTGTTTAATTACCTAAAAGAATAATTTTAAAAGAGTGACTCAGTATTATGAAATATTCCATTTTCTTTAAATGGATGAATACTTTGTGCCCCACAGTTTTTACTAGCAGATAATATAATTTTGCACAAACTAAAGCTTTATGTACTCTACAATTTCCTCTCCAAACAAAGCAATCCTACAGCTTCCTTGATTCAAAAGTACATTTAGATGTGCTCATTATGGAAAAGACAGAATATCAAACACTGGCATTTTCCAGCATTTAAACAGCAAAATGAAATAAAATGTGTTCTTCAAAACTCAGAAGTCCAAATAAGCCAATTCAAATTCTATTTTCCAAAAGAACTACTGGAACAGAGCTATGCTAACTGTGAAAAAGCATCCTAGCAAAGAGTGCTGTGACAAGACATATGGTAAATAAATCCAGGCAATGTCATCGTGGCTTATCAGTAGCTGTGAATTGAAAAATCATGCTTGGATAGGAATCTAACATTGAATCAAAGTTTATGGATATTTCAGGAGTAGTTTCAGGTGAAGTCACAGCAGAAAATCCTTATTTATAAACAAGGATGTTCTTTATTTAAATAAAAAATAATCCCTTGGAAAGAACTGGAAGGCTGAACAATCACTCTCAGTGGTTAGCATAAAGCAGAAGTAACATCAGGAAATAGGTTATTTTCTGACATGAAAAATCTGGAGTATCAGAATGTTTATGTTTTTTCTTAGAGTAACAGAGTTTTCCTTACCCTTGTGTTGAAACCATCTGCATTTTGAGTGATTTTGTATAGCTGTGGAAATCTAAGCATGCTATCTTGAGTACACGACCGTTCAAAAATTCCCAGAGTAAAGGGTGGCAGTGCTGTGAAAATCTGCAAGGAAAGCAAATACTAACTGAAAGCAGCTCTTAGTTTTAAGTGTATCTCATATAATATTTCCTTATCTAGACAAAAGCAAAATTCTCACAGATATCAGTGAAGACTTACTACTACCTAGCATGTTATTTGGCATCATTTTCAATGGTCCAAACAAGTCCAAACATTAATTTGTAATTCTCAAATATTGACTTGTGAACAATAGAAACAAGAAAGAAAATTAGTATTATTAACCAATAAATTAAACCAAAGAAGTTAAGCAAGAAGTTAAGTTTCTGATGTACCAGCTAATCCAGCAAGGGTCAGACCCATCGGACTGCAATGGACAGTATGAATTTTTATAAAATAGCCTTGTGGGAATAGGTTCCAATATAACTGCAGTTGTAGCCATAATTAGATATGCAATGTGCTTAACCAGTGCTAAGTTTACAGACAGAGTAAATGTGGAAATCACATTTAAAAGAAAAAATCTACTGAGCAACAAAGGCCATTCTGCATTATGGTACTTTGGGGATTCCCCTGGCAGGCATGAACTGATAGGAACAAATTAACTGCAGTGTGTGTCTGTGCTACGGGGAGACGCTTGGATGACCAAGCCTCGGAAGCCTTCCAAGACAGGCAGCAGGACCCTCTGCCAGAAGCAGAGTAAATTAGCCTCCACTGACTTTAACACTGCTGCTCTTGAAGCGTTTCCAGGATCTGAGGCAGCTCATTTAAAGCCAGCTTGGGTATCCACGCTTCTTGTGGTCCACAGTGCAGGCACAGAGGGAAAGTTACACCAGGGTGCAAGTCAGAACACTAAACTTCATTCACTTCCTTTTACATCAATAGTTTATATCAGAAACATCACTTTAAATCCTATACATACATTTATTTTTACCAGTTTGAGGAGTGTTCTCGAAGTTAAGAAGCAGGTTGGAGCTATGAACTGTGTCTAGGGTGTGTGCACATTTGGAGAAGGTGGGCTGTGATTCCCACCAGCAGCACGCTGGGAGCAGACAAAGAACAATGGGGAGGAACAGAGATGAGTGAGAATCAATAATTATAGCCCTTCATCCAGTGGGAATTGTGTGTCTTCACCCCTGAAGTGATAAACCAGATGGCTAAAATGGCAGCAGGCTGAGAGTAGCGAACTGAAACTGAGAGCACCGGTCCAATATATTCCAAAGAAGACCATGCTGTTATACAGCTTTAACGTACTTCCCCTGGTTTCCTGTGTTTATTGGGACATGTACATTCTCACTTGAAGTAAATCTTCCAGTGGTTTTGATCACCAAGGCAAACTCCCAGTGTGAACTAGTACAAAATCAGGAATTACAAAGCCATTACGATTTCATACACTTCATATTTTAATGAGACTACTAATGAAAGAAAGGGTTAATCTGCAAAGAAGAGAATGACTTCATTAAAAGCACTTCAAAATCTCAGCGCGACAAATTGTGGAAGTCCCCAATATCTTACAAGCACTTTATTCTCCATGAGTCCACACAACCAGTTCTAATTTTAGAAAATACTGACCTCAAAAAACAAGGTTTAGTTTCTGATTACAGAAGATGAGTTTTATCCAGAAGCTTTAGGTAGAGTAGATAGATTCATCAAATGAGGTTTAAAGAAAATAGATGCAAATATCTAAACATGAATGACAGAGACTGCATAACAGTCAGGAAATTAGGGTGAAGGGAATCAAGGGAATGATAAATCCTTGAATAAGTATCTTCAACTAAGAGTATGAAATCTCATGAAATATGGGGGCTTGTGCCATCATTTTAAAAATTAATGTGACAGAAGTTAAGTGGTTCCATTAATACTATTCAGTGATAATTTGCTGGCTTTTCCTGTATTAGCATATATTTGGAATGAGTTTTTTTAATGAAAAATTTAAATTCCCTCCCTGTGAAGAGACTTTTTAACTAGCAGTTTATAAATCCAGGCACTGGGCCACTCGTAACATTGCAAAGGTAACACTCTCAAAAACACCAACACAGCTCTATGGTACGCTACAGAACTTGGCTCCAGAGATCCTTCAGACTTTCATCCACGTGACTGATAATATTATTGATTTAAGTAATAATATTACTGATTTAAGTAATAAAGTCATATGACATGGGGTGGCACCCCGCAGGCCATGTTGAAAATCAGAAACCACTCCCAGACTGCTGATGACACAGCGATGCAGCTTCTCTTCCTGTACCTAAGGGAGCACAAGTCAACCTGAAGTAACTCCTCTCAGCATCTAACTCTCCAGGGTCTGAAGGGAAAAAAAATCATCAAAACTCAGAGATTAGGAGTATTTTGAGCATGATCTGTCACGAAAATATTCAGTACAGAACACTGAAAATGCTTTCAAAGAGGAAATTAAATTCTATCTAAAATCTGCAGATCTTTATGCAGGTTATATTAGGGTAAACATTTACTTTCAAGGTGTTCTCCCAAATTTTCATTTTGCAATAAAAGTGAAATTTTTAAATTTTATTTTCCCTATCTCAGAGTGGATTCCAAGTGGCTTTTACAAATGAACTCACCTTTCCTGACATACACTTAGGACAGTTAGCAGTGAAAAATGGGACACAACAAAATAACATAGTAGTCCCAAGCACTATCAAGTCAAAACATGCAGCACTTACCACATTATACAGACCGATGCACCATCGCTCAAATAAGATCTGCCCGGAAAATCCATTAACGAAAGCAAACCAAAGCTGGAAAAGAGACAAGTTACAAAAAGCTTTAGATGACTCCTGCAGTCCATCCTTCCATTCACGTAGAGGAGAAGGATGTGGAATACAGACCACCATCTGGAGACAGATGCTTGTCATGCTCTAAAAATAATTATCAGCAGTGCCAGGCAGTTACTTTCAAGTCTTACATTTTAAATACTGGCCAAGTACTCCTTGTTTAAAATAAAATACTCAGGCTATGGAGCAATTAGTTGTATTTACATCATTGCTCTAAAAAATAGATGGCATCAAACTATTACAAAATCCTTATCACTGGCAAATTAATATGCTTGCAGCCAGAAGCCAGCCTCATTTCCATCATGTTTGCTAAAGACCAGAATTTTCAAGATAACTGCTTTGATGGATGTTCTGCTTAACCTACGTTGATTTTTACAGTCCCAGAATTACAATGATATCTACTTGTCAGTTACATGATCGTGATTATATTGTAATTTTATTGTTTAAATTATGCAAACATTATTATTTATTAAACTATTTAATAATTAAAATTGGAAGAGGTTGCAAAACAGGCTGCAGAGCCTTCATCCTTTAACAAGTTTACAAATGCAACTGGGCAAGCCCTGAGCAACCTAGTTTGCATTTAATGTTCACCCTGCTTTAAACAGAAGATTGGGCTAGATGGACTTCAAGTGGTTTTCCAACTGAGGGGATTCTGTAATGACACAATCCCAGGAAACAGCTTTAAGCTTCAGTGCAAAGGTAAACTCTTTTCAGCATTTCCATGGATGCAGCTTCTTTGAGCCTATTAATCTTGCTTAAGCACCTTTCTGAAGCACAAAGTGCTGTACTGGGTTGGAACAAAGTTTCTTAGGGGACATTGAAAGAAGTTTAGGGAAACAACATAACAAAGAAGGGGAAGAATTATCATTTTCCAAGTAAATTGGAAACTGAAAGAACAATAGCAGTTTAAGGGCATCCTGAAACAGTCTGTATGTGAAATCATTACACTTATTAGATAACAAAAGATTTCTGAGAATTTCTGGCAACAGTCCCTTTCAAAATCGACAGTACACCATATTACTTTGTTCAAAATTATTTCAATATTGTGTATGAGAACACTCCCTCTAACCACCCTGTTTCAACATATTTTGTGTTGCATTTACTTCACAAGTCCATGTTGCACTGGATGCAATACGTATTGCAGATCAGCCAAGTGCTAACCATGCCCATTCCCTTCCTGCTCCCTGAGAGCCCATGGCACTTAGTGCCAGGTGTCTTTTCTGACACCATTCTGTCACTCATTGGGCAGCACTCTCCTACCAGCATCATTTATTCTCTGGTTCACTTGTGCAGTATTAGTGGCCTAGCAGAATATCTCAGATAACAAGCAGTTAGCTGTACATCATCTGATCTCTCCCTGCTCCCACCCAAAATGAATACAGAATAATCAGGGGAAAAAATCCCCCAAAAAAACCAAGTAGAAAATGAGACTGCATCAAGACCTATCACTGTTTTCATAGATGCAATATCTAAACAGACCATGACTCTAACATGGGACAGAGGCAACTTCATGCAATATTAAAGTATTTACAAGGTTGGAAAGAATAACACATAGCTGTTCAAATAGGCACTGCTGCAAGACATGAAATTCACATGCTACACAAAAGGAGAAAGGGAAACTTTTTCACACAATATATGGCTGGCCTATGGAAATGTCTCCCAGATGATGCTGTAGATGCAAAAGGCAATTAAAAAAAAAAAAATCACAGAAGGAATGCTGGAGACCAGATGAGTCTGCCAGAGAACTACCACTGTTCACAACCAGAGACCAAGTTAGTTGAGCTCTTATTTCTCAATTTTTACAGCTATTATATCACCATTCTTGTTTGATATTAATCATTGGTTCTAATGAACTCTCATTGTTCAAGTAAGAAACAATGACACTGATTCCAACTCATCTGTTTATAGCTATGCTTTGCACAGTTGGTAATCTGTTTAAAATTACTTCCTGCAATTTTTTAAACTGTCAGCTGCTCTTTCAAGTAGCGAGGTTCTATTTATTTCTCACTATATTACTCTGAAGCTTGCACTTTTCAATACCTGCTGCCCCTCTCCCAGCTTGTAGTTTACAAAGTGCCCTTGTAAATTTTCTTAAGGGCCAACAGCTTCATTCCTCTGTCCCTTAGCTGAAATGCACCAGCCTAGTATAAACTGCAAAATATTTCTTGGGTTTCCTAAAAAAAGTGCCTCTTTCTTTCCCATTGCCAAACATGCACTCAATTAAAAAAGCCTTTAAGGATTCACCTCACCAGCTCTGTCCAGAAGAAGGACAGAAGACACACTCTACATCCCAACTTTTTATCATGAGTTCTATCTATTGCATTGCTGCCTTGAAGGAATACTCTCTAAACCTCACTCTAAGGACACAGTTAATGGCCCAAAGCAGCACACTGGCCAGTCACACTCTCACCCTTGCAGTGTTCCAGCCACTTCTACACATCAGCTCTTCAAAAGAAACATATGAAACCTCTTTGGTACAAAGCCTGAGGTTCCAAAAAGAAACCACAATTTATTTGGGGTGTTCAAGTTAGAAACTTGAGGGTTTATTCTAGGAAGAATCTGAGCTCTAAAACAGCATGCTCACAGATATTTAGCAATAATGATCTAGGCATTTATCATCTCCAGGCTTGTTGCAATTAATTGCAACGATGAATGAGGGCAGCAATTCTAGAAACAATAAATAGCTCACAAATCAGAAGCCTGTCTGGCTTAGTTGGCAACCTGACTGTGCTCTGCTCAGTTTTCTAGATCCTACTGGGCAAAGCAAACTTCAAAGGTTTGGTAGCAAATGATGAGGCCTTTTATAACATTGGCTCGTGCTGCTTAGGAAACAACTGCTTTCTGAAACCATAGCTTCCCACAACCAGTCCTCCAGCAACAGACATAGCTGATTATCCATCAAGAGGGTAAAACAAAGCAGCCAGAATGTCTGTAGCTAGCCCATGGCTAGAAGAAAAACCCTAAACCAGGCAAATCTAACATCTTGGATTCTTAGATTCACATTTCCCAACAAAAACATGAGCAATAATGATAACAGAATCACATAAAATATGGGAAGAGCAGAGCTGTTAGGATGCCTTACAAAGCATCCTAACAGGCTGTCAAAGCACAAGTGAGAAACATCCACTCAACAGACCAATTCCTTCTACTCAGGATGTACCAGAACTGCATGGTGCAGAATCCACTAAAGACCTAATGTGCTAACACCACATTGAGATGAATGAGTCAATTTAGGAGAATATTGAGATGTCTGACTGCAGTAAATACTCTTGAGTCCTCTGCAGCATCTTTCAACATTTTTTTTCTACAGAAAAATTTTCCCCCTATTTCAAAGGCTGATATAATTTGGAAAGACAAGAACTAACATTTAGAAAGTTCAGTATCTGGCCAATCCGAAAGTCCAAGTTAAACTCTTTTTCTTTCAGCAGTATCCACACAGGTAAAAATTAGAGGTGAGAGCATTTCCAACACTTACAAGTCTTCATGCACCACAGGCTCCAAACAGAGGGGAAAAGTTATCACTGTCACAATGCACTGGGAAGTAACAGCTCTGCTTGTTTTCTCCACAGATTCACACTACCAAAAGCTGACTGACAGAAAGACTGTGGGATACTTTCTCATACTTCCTCAATATCTTCATGTCAAGAGTAAATCAGATACTCTAAATAAAATACACATTTATTTTGAATTTAACACAAGCCATAAACTGCTATGCATGGTTTAAGGACCAGCTGCTTGTAGAGAGAACATAATGCACCTGAAGGTAAACAAATCAAAAAAACAAACCCAAACTCTCCACCTTCATGTTCATGTTAACAAAATGTACTGAATATATCTGAAGTTGCAACAAGCCACGCTTGACTCAGACTCAGTAAGCTGGTAGGAAAACTTGCCAAGTCTGCCTGGCTTGCCAAGCTCCAGGGGTTTGTAGGGCTCAGCTCCAGCACTGCTATGAACAAATGGACCCACAGTTATTAAACCTCTTTTCTGGCTGGAAAAAAGAAATCTTTTCACTTTAACTATTACCTAGCTGCCAAAAAGCTGGAAAAGCTTATTTGTAACTCAGCTACAAAATATATACCTTTCTCCCAAGAAACAAGAGGTCCAATTTAAATGTAAAGAGATTCAGACCTAAGGCTGAAATCTGGGCTGATACATTGCTGTGCTTTATTATAACAGATATTGCAAAGATGTGAAACTAGTAGGTACTGTGCAAAAAGAAACTGCAACATTGCAAACTGAAAGCTAGCCCATGTTTCCTGCCTTGAAGTGGGGTTGCATTCTTTAAATAAGAAACTCCACTGCTGAAGCACTCGATGCCAGCTGTGATGTGGGCACTTTGCCACTAGAGAAAGGGGAGAAGGGAATAAACCAGAGGTCAGCAAAAGCCAACAGATGGTAATACTTGGTTAATATTGACTTCAGCTGCAGGCAAACTGAGGATCTCAAGGTAGAACAGTCCCACACTGCTGTTTGGAGTTACACAGCACATCCACCTGCTCTAGAGTGTATTTTGAGAAAAGATCAAGTATTATTTTCAGAAAGTATTCCCACTTGAGCAAGTTGGAAGGCAATTTTAATTGCATTATTGCTTCATGCATAATTACTGCAAAATTAATGCCTGAAATAGTAGGAACTAATTTATTTAAGCGCTCTAAGGCACTGGGATAGCAAATCATCTCTATTCTAAATGTGTATATTTATGAAGGCTTGATAATAGACAGCTTAACGAGTACTAGAAATGTTTTTCCAATTCTGCTAAAGGGCACAGAAAGCTAATGTAGTCAGGGTACCAACAATTGCCACAGGCACCAATTATAGCCAGACTGGATGCCTTTACTATTCAGAAATTAGTTAAATTCTCAAAATACCCTCTCTCAGCACACACACATTTTGCATGTTCTTACCAAACAGGCTGATTTACAGTTTGCCCAATAAAGCAGGTTTGTGTGTCTACCATG